TCACCTGCTGCTCCCCTCAGCAGTGTAGTTCAGTCAGTCTGCCTGTTCTGCTCTCCACTCTGTCTCTGGTGAATCCTCTCACCCCTCATATCTCATACCTCTAGCCTGTACCCTAGTGCTTGTATGCATAAATAAATCTTTAAAAAACACCCCCCCCCCAAACTGGCAGTCTTGGTAATCAGACTCAGCTCACCCTCCAAATAGAGCACACCTTTATTTTCTTTTTCCATCATGACCTTGAGCTACCTCCCAGCAAATATCTTAATGTTTCCCTTTCTACATCTTTTATTTGAGCACTCATTCATTAATTTATTTGTTCATTCAATATTCATCAAATACCTACTGTATTCTAGGTGCTGCTCTAGGTGTTGAAGATCCAAAATAGGTTAGGTCTTGACTTTAAAGATCTTTCTCACTAAACTCCAATAAATGGTCACATGAGTTGTGCGACTTATGTGGCACATTCAGCACCCATATAAAGCATAGCTTTAAATTTTACATATTTTCAAATCTGTCAAGCATTGAGAAGTCATCAGGTTTTTTTCCCTCTCTCTCATAACTAGATCTTCTTACTGGTGTTCAGTCCTCTGTGTAATGGGTTTATGCCACAGACTACCAGGGTCACAGGCTGCAAAGGGGAATACCAGAGACAGGTTTTTAAAGAATGAAATTTGTCTATATGCTCACTGGCCTGTTGTTACACTTTCATTAATTAAAAAAATAATCTCGGTTTGCATGAAGGAATATCAGTATGGGAGGGGATTTTAGGAACCATATGGCCACAGTACTCTGTTTTACTTAGTAATGAAGAGTCTGAGATGGACAGGAGGGAGCAGGGGGGGAGCTGGGAATAGACTACAGGGTTCTGACCTCTGATGCATGGCGCTGGGCCCACAGGGCATATGTCACCTTCAGAAGACACACCCTTCCCAGGGGCCCCCAACCTCCCTCCCCTTCTTCCAAGGCCTCCTTCCTGCCACTAGCACTTTCTTCAAGGAAAATTAAGGTGACAGGACACAGATTTTAAAATTTCATCATCTTCTCTCAAGGGAAGAATTCCCTGGGACATTATATCTAAATGACTAAGAGAAGCAAGGAAAAATATGTTATATTGTTATTGCTCTTTCTCTTAGCTCTTCTTGATTTCCTTTGGGTTTTGGATACATGAAATGTTGCTGCTGCTTTCTCCTTCTCTCCCTCCTCCTTACTTGGGGAATAATTTATTTTAATCGGGTATAAACCATAGGTAGTAGAGAAACTCTTCTTCCGCAGTTTTATTTCAACTCAAGGATCAGGAAAGGACTCAGACAGTGAGCAAGGCCTGAATTTCAATCTGGGATTTATCTGCTGTGGGTTTTGTTGCTATGAGACCCTGAGTAAGTCACTCAATCTTGTGAAATCTCATTCCCTTTTGTGATATAAAGATAATAATACCAATCTCTTCAATTTGTTTAAGGAATTAAGTAAAAGACCATAGGGTGATAGTTAAGTGTAGTAGTTGCTCTGTCAGGGGCAGCTGTTAATAAAAATAATTATGAACACTTTGCCCAAAATTAGACCAGGTAGAATAGATATGATGTGTAAAGGCCTACTTTGAATTGCAGAAGTACGTATACACTTCTTTAAGAGACTTCAGAAATAAAAGCTTCCATTCTCATCTCAAATTTATATTAAAATATATGAGGCTCACTCACAAAAAGTGGAGGACTTTGTCAAAGTCAGATAGTTAGCAGTGGTAGAGCTGGTACCAGAGTCAAGGACCCCAATCTGACTGGTCCCCTCCTCCAGGTGAGTGGTCTCTAGGGGGCCAAGTCTCCAACCACACAATCTAAATACTCAAATGAAGTGGGAGAAATAAAAGCCACCAATAGGCTCTCGGTAGGAATAGTTCATGTTATGTCACCAAATGAGTATGAAAAAACTTCGGTATTTACAGTTCTTAGATTCAGAATTGGGGATAAGTTACTGAAAAAAATGTAAGTGAAAGGCATGCTAAATATTTCTCAATGCGCTAGGGTAGACAGCTTGCCGGGACCCCACTTTATACCACGCCAAACCCAGAATTTGACTATTTCAAAGCCTCGTTGCCAAAGGAACAAAGAGAAATCTGAATCCGTATATCTTAGATTGAAATTAGGGGAAAGGAGATGGATGCAACAAATTTTTCAAGGCTGCATTCCCTGCATTACTGTCTCCCCAGTTCATGGACTGGACCTGCCTTTGCTAGACTCAGAAGCTGGGGTTCCCCAAGAGCCCTCATTAGTTCTACTAATGCCGAAAGTCAGCTGATAAGTAGGACTCCTCCTGGTTTTCTGCCAGTCCTTACTATCTTTTTTACAAAGGACTATTTAAAGCACAATCCTGATCTCATAGTTGGACCCATTTTTAGATGCTGAAATAAAGAAAATTAGGGGTTCTAGGACTGGGTATGTTTCTGTCATGCTCACCAAATTGCAAGGGTTGCGCACAGCTCGTGTATAGGAATATTTTAACTATATTTAATTACAGAAATAACTTCCCAGAGAGATGCAGGTTAGCTCCTTTAGCACAGTGACAATGCGAGAAAGGTTTCGCTTGGAATAATAAATGAGATTATTCCATCAGGACACTTTTGCTGAGCCCAGACCTAAGAAGAAGGTAACATTGCCCTACCAGTCCAAGTTATAGATTTTGTTGGCGATCCATCTAATTTCCTCTGTCAATCATCAGAACCTGCTCATGTACTTTGCAGTCAGTTCCCATGGTCCCCGTTGAGTGGCACGTTATTTTCCTGCCTGACCACAGACAAGTAGGACAACTATGTCAGAAGTAGTCTCTACCCAAACTCAAATAATCACGTTCTCTCTCCTGGGAAATGGAAATGGGGCTACTGCGATACTATTGAAAGTCTGATGAGCACTTAAAGGGTGAAGTAAAGTCAGCAATGGAGACACTGAATTGACTCTTGTGTCAAGAAGTAGAAGAACTGGTTAAGAGATAGAGATCCAAGAGAGAAATAAGGTAGAGCTTGAAATGAAGTAGAAATATGCTGAATGATGACCAAATGCAGATAGAAGCAGAGGTAAGAAAACAATTCGTTTAAGAAAAACTAGGAGTGAAACCTTGGCTTTGCTTTGTTTGTGGACATTATTATATTCTTTGCCCTTTTATTTCATTATATGCCCCAGTAACTTGGTGATAAATATAACACTTCCCTTTGTGTGTGTGTGTGTGTGTGTGTGTGTGTGTGTGTGTGTGTATGAGATTTGAGTGGGCTTTGCTTCTTGCAACCAAAGGATCCCAAGACAGATTTGCATACATAATCTCATGTTTTATGACCACTAATATTTTCAAGATGGCACCTTTGTTTTAAGGTAGTGGGACTAGAATCTAGAAGGGAGACTGATATGCTCTAGTGTCTTAGCATCATGCTCATTGATTTATCTGTCACTGATGCTTCACATGCTTTGGCTCTGTTTTTATTCTTTGCATCAGGCTAAAATAGAGACTATAATTGATATCCTCTTCAAAGGAGTGTGACTTCCATGTGGGATGGATTTTCAAAAATTCTAACTGGACACCCATAGTGTTGGAATGGCTCCAAGATTCCTCGTCGCTCCACTGGCCAGCATCTCTTTTTTTCCCTTCTCTGAAAGGTGTGGATTTGACCTTTTCTTTGGTCACCAAGGTTGCTGTATTCAGCTACTTGCAACTAAGATACAAAGGACTTTGGCGGAAAGCAGCCCACAGAGTTCTATTTGAGGAATGCCAAATGGTTCTCCAGGACCCAGCTGGTACCACTCTCTTGCACAGTGCTAGAAATGTACACAGTTATTTTTGTTGAGTTATAATATTATTTCCCACAATGAAATCTAATATTAAAACAAAATTAACAACACCCACGGAGAGGGCAGAGAACTCTTAAGCCTGCCAGTGTGTGACTTTGGGAAAACCAAAACCTCTGTGTTTCAGTTTCCTCATCTGTAAGGTGATAATGATACCTCATAGGTAGTTATGAGGTTAAATGAGTTAATATCTGTAAAGCCTCTAAAACAATACCTGGCACATAATATGAGCCCCATATTTGCTAAAAATCAAACAAACAAACAAACATGAAAGTATCTTCTCTCCCATTCAATTCCAGGCAAAGAAGACTTTGAAAACAGGACATTAAAAGTTTTCTTTAGGGCCTCCCTGGTGGTGCAAGTGGTTGAGCGCCGCACTGTGAAGATGTCCGCAGCCTCTGCAGCGCGGGTTCAATCCTGGCTGGCCACAGAGATGCCCACATGGTGCAGCAGACCTCTCCTGTCTTGCCCGCTGCTCCCCTCAGCAGTGTATTTCAGTCGTCTGCCTGTTCTGTTCCCTACTCTGTCTCAGGCGAATCCTCTCACCCTCCCGCACATCTGGCCTGTACCACAGTTCTTGTATAAAAAATAAATAAATCTTAAAAAATAAAGTACTATTTGGAAAAAAAAAGTTTTCTTTAAATTTTTTTCTTTGTTTGGTTTTGATAATTTAATCTAGTTAAAGCTTCTCAGACCTTTGAATCCAGGTTTGGTGATAGCCTTTTTAGCATCCTGTTATGTTATCATCATTGCAACTAAAATCTCTATGCAATTGATCGGCTAGTTGTTGAGTGTTCATCTGTGTTCAGCTAGGCTTCTACAGCCTTGTCTGAGGCCAGGAATTTCTTTGGTTCTCCACTGTCTTCTCAGAAGTAGTGTCAAATAAAGCTCAGCAAATGTCTTTGAACGAACAAATGAATGAGTGACTCAATTACAATAAGGAAGTTGCTTTAAGTCACTGTTGATGCAGCAAAAGCAGTTTGATATTCAGTGGTATCAAATCTATTACACTGTAAAGAGAGCACATTATTTGAACATTTCTGAAAAGTATGCATAAGGTTTTGAAGTTATATTGGGTGTGAAGAGTAGCAATAAGATTCATCCCAGGCAGTCCCAGGTACATGAGCAGTACCTTCAATTAATTAAAAACAAAACAGAAAAATCTTTAATCACTCTGTACTTCCTTTTGCTATTATTTTGTCTAACTACATATTTTAGGCTGTTTATTTCATAATTTTAACACCCCATATGTTTTGTAGCAAATCTGACATTATAGTGATGCTTAAGATCAAGATCATGAAATCCTCAAAATCAAGCTTATTTTCTGTGTGCTCGTCGAGTTCAGAAAGAAGTTCCTTGTATTTTGGTTTGGTTTCTTGTCCCTGTGAGAACAAAGAACATAAAAACCTAATTCACTGTGCCAACCTGGTCCTGCAGATAATAATAAATACTAAATAAGCAATAATAAATATGTCATTAATAATAACATGTCGTTGCTCCCAGTGTTACCAGTTGATCTCCAGTGAAATCTTTTCACGGGTTACCACATTGAAAGGTCACAGTGACCTTCCTCAGAATGTGCTATTAATTATGGCCTCTCTACAAGTGTAGTGTCAAGACTTCATGAGAATGAAGTACCTGGGCCCAAGCAAAGCAGCTGTTGGGAGGAGCCAGGATTCATAGTTGTGGCTACCTGATTCCAGAGCCCAAATTCTGACGGCTAAGCTAACCACCTCTCTATAAACACAGATATTGCTATGTTTTCAGATTTTCAAAATATGAACTCTTTGTTATGGAAGTTGCCCATTATGTGTTCCACTAAACAATAAGATGATCTAGAAACATGTAATAAAATATGCTAAAAGAAAACATGTGCTTTGGAAGATGATTCAGCATTTTGCTTGATCATAAATCACATCTAAGACTCTTCATAGCCCTCATAAACAGACAGAAAGAGAGCATATAAAGAGTACATAAACAGAGAGACTTTGCAATTTCCAACCACAGCTTGAGAAATACCTTCCCACGTGACATTGAAAACGTTATTTGATTCAACATTATACTGAGCTGTGTTTGCATTTAGTCCAACCGCAAATGCTCAGCTGTGTGCTAGCTGTAAAAATCCTTGACAACAATGGGTGAGGCACTTTGGAATGATGATACATTCCTTTTACAGTCTTGTTTCTCTGGATTTGTTCTCAAGAAGTCCCACCTACATGGCTGGTGGGAGTGCAAACTGGTCTGGAAGAGCTATGGAAAGCTGTCTGGAGGTTCCTCAGTCTACTAAAAATGGAGCTACCATACGACCTGGCAATTCCACTCCAAGGGATCTACCCAAAGGATGCAAAAACATTGATTCAAAAGAACACCTATACCCCTGTGTTTATTGCAGCACTATTTACAATGGGTAAAACCTGGAAACAACCCAAATGTCCAAAAATAGATGACTGGATCAAGAAGATATGGCATATATACACAATGGAATATTATTCAGCAATCAAAAAAGATCAACTCATGCCATTCACAGCAACATAGATGGAGCTAGAAGGAACTATGCTCAGTGAAATAAGTCAGAAGGAAAAAGAAAAATATCAGATGGTTTCACTTCTAGCAGGAATATAGGGGAACCCAATAAGACATCAGTATAAAAAAATAATAACAGTACAAAACACAACAAAGCAAAAACAGACAATTATATATCAGAGACATCCTGCAGGGGAGGAGGAGGGAGAGGGATCAGAGGGAGGGAGGGAGGAGCATAGGGGACTGAGGTGATGGTGCAAGGGTGCATTGGGGAAGGGAATTTTATGGGGACTACCCCTGAGGGGGTGGGGGGGAAGTAAAGATTGTTTAAAAATGAACAATGATGTAAAATATTTTAAAAAATGAATAAAAAAAAAAAGAAGTCCCACCTGACAGAGAAGGGGAAAGGCACTCTGTCAGTCTCCCTCCAAGAGAACTTCAGTTCCAAGAGCACTTCATTGGCATAAAAGATACACAGTTTGCTCAAAGGTTAGAGAGACGGTGGGTTTCTGCTCTTTTTTCTGTGTGTATTATAAGAGCAAGAACTGACTGAGGCCCAGTCTTCTGAGTGCCTGACCAGCCATCTTGCTTTAGTATTTTAGCAATGCCTAGTGTGCTAAAGTTTATCATATCTGACTGGCGATGAGTGTTAAGATCCTCCAAATCATGGGTAGGCTTATGAGACAGGAGATATTCCCCTTAGAACTCAGACTTCATCCTAAAGGTTCAGCTCAGTTTACCAGAAAATTCCACCAGGGTATTTCAGGACAAGTTCACTCAGTAAAGAAGGTGCTGCTGTCTTTTGCCACAGACTCACAGATCTGTGCCTGCCTTAGGAAAGCTTGCTGAGTGGGACCTCTGGCCCAAGGCAGCCTTCTGACATTACAAGTGTGCCCATTGGAGTTAAGCTATCACCAATGATATCGAGTCAAGCCCTGGGGTGGGCCGTTGCTCCAGTCCCTGAAATACAGTCTGTGCATTGGGTGCTACTCATTTTTCACCTTGAGTGAGGGTATGATTGCACTAGGGTCTGGGGGTGTCTGCTGCCAGGGGTCCAGAATTTGGCTGCCGTTCTTGGGTTTCACCTAAGATGGAGGCTGACATGGAGGCTGAAGGTGTCTTTCCTAATGATGTTGGCTTAAATTTTTGCCTCTGCTGTTCTCAGAGGGATGATGATTACTTGAAGATGATCCGTGCTCTAGGTCCTCATTTTCACACTTATTAAAAACTCACTGGGCATTTGCCACGTCCCTCAACAAGGGCCCTTTTTCTCTCTGGGATATGTCATTTCTTTTGACCTCAGATGGAGGCAGATGTTATAGGATTAATTCACCCATCTTTTCTTTAAAGACTCTTCAGAAATTTTTATTTCCTCAAATTCTGCTTGATATTTCTGATTGAAAAAAAACACTTTAAACTAAAGCTTTTCAAAAATAATACATGCGCCATAGAAACATATTCAATTAGAAAATAATATTTTAAAAGGAGAATTAAAAATAACTAATTTCACCATTACTGAAAGATAGCTATTATTAATAATATTTCTTTCCAGTCACTCTTTGGCATATAACACTATATAATCTTTTTCGCTCCAATACACTTTTTAAAAAATTATTGAGAAATAACAGAAATATAAGTGTAAACATTTGAAGTGTACAATGTGATACTTTGATACACATTGTAGAATACTTTCCAAATTAGGATAATTCACACACATCCATTACCTCACCTCTTTTATTTATTTATTTTTGGCAAGAATATTAAAAATCTACTCTAAGAGACTTTCAAATATATAATAACAACATTGTTATTGAAAGTTATCAGGTTGTAATTAGATTCTCAACACTTATTTTAACAATTGAAAATTTGTACCTTTGACCTTATCAACTTTCCCCTACCCTTCAGCCCCTGGGAACTAGCATTCTACTCTGTTTCTATAAAATTAGTGTGTTTTTAAAAAAATAATTTTATGTGGGCCTCCTTGGTGGTGCAGCAGTTGAGCGCTGGGTTGCGAAGCTGCCCGCAGCCTCTGCAGTGCCGGTTCGATCCCCGGCTGCTCCCCGGCCACCAGAGGAGGGTCCCACATGGCGCGCAGACCTCTCCTGCCACCTTCTGCTCCCCTCAGCAGTGTACTTCGGTCCTTCTGCCTGCTCTGCTCCCCACTCTGGCTCTGGTGAATTCTCTCACCCTCCCGCGCTTCTGACTGTACCCAGTGCTTGTATAAATAAATAAATAAATCTTTAAAAAAATAATAATTTTATGTGGAATGTAAAAGAACTTGATTTCATACACATGTTTCTGAAATATTCATATTCAAGGAAGTTGTACCCTTGAGTCTGTTTTCCCCTGTAAATGACCTTATTTAACAGTAGCATGCTAAAACTACATGTACATTTTAATGGACTTACAACACTGATGTTTTAATATCCCATAATACACACAGAGCCTTCCAGTCTGCTTCCTTTTAAGTTTTTGTTCTTGCTCTACTACCAATAAATATTGACTGGTTAGGCTCTGCATGAGACTCTTTTCCTTTTACATATTTTCCCTGAGCCATTCTTTCCCAAACTAAGAATACATACTGCTAAGAGAATGTAACTTTAGGCAATACAAAAATAAATATTAAGTAAGAATTCATAGTCTTATTATTATTTTACACCCTTCCACTTTTAGCCATTGAATTTACATTTAGAATGCTAATAAAGCATTACATAGCAATTTATTTGAATAGAGGGCTAATTTAAAGAAAAGGCTCAAGGAAATTATAGGCTATAGGCAGATAGAGAAAAAAATGAAAATGGTGTTTAAATGACTGAAGATTGAGAAACATACCTTTAGATTCTTTAGGTCACTTCCTTCTTCAGTGATGATTTGTATGCTGCTAACTTTTATTTCTATATTTTGAGTTTTGAGAACTTTATTCTGACCTTGGGAGGTAAGGGGTACCCTGTAGTTGTCTGAGTTTTTCCTCTCAAATGTTTCATGCACATTTTAAAATTGACACACCCTAGTGGAATGCCTCATCTCCTCCCCTCTCCAATTCTACCCAGAGTTCTAAGGTCAGGACTAAGAAATTGGCTGAATCTCTTCTTTCTCTTCTCTGGGAATGGAAACACCATTAATTTTTTCTCACAGTTAGAAAATGAGGTATCATTATTTGTACCTCCTGTCCTACAGTCATCATAGCCAATTTATGATCAGATCCTGTTTATTTCACCTTCAAAACCCCTTCACATTCACTACTCTAGTCTAAATCACCATGAACCACCTCTGTAGATTGCTTCCTGTATTTTGTCCTGCCCTTGACCCTCACCCCAGTCTCATCTCGCACCAAAGCTGGCATCTTGTCTTGGCCTTAGAAACCATATTTGACTTCCTCTGGCCCTCTTTAAGAATTGGCTTCTCCCCGCCTCCCCAGTCTCCTCTCCCATTGCTGCCTGCTTTCCTCCCCTTCTCACCAACTACTTACCAGCCCTCCCAAGTCTTTGCCCTCCTTTATGGTCTGGCTTTGCCACCATTCTCAACCCCCTTGTCTTGCTAATTCTTGGACATTATTCTTATTTAAGCTATACCTTAACTGTCCAGGAGTCCTTCTTTGACCACCTGCCCCAAGACAAATTTACTCTTTCACTGCATTCCCTGCTCTTTAATATTTCAAATTACCTTACCAGCACCTCTCTTGTTAGCTTGTTCATTGCGTTAACCTCAGTGCTCATATGGCATGTGGCAGGTGTGCAGTACACATTTGTTGAATGAAACACATGAATAATATCTGACAGTCCCCTTGAGTTGGAGTTATTGGCTCCACGGGCCAGCCTCGATGGCATGGCCCCTGTCTTTGTGGGCCTGTACATTCTCTTACCTCTGTGAAATTCCTAAATTGGGATTGTAGCAGATTTTTGGCAGTCATTTTCTCAAGTTTACCATCAGGGTCTGAAGAATTTCTGAATATCAGAGCTAAGGTGGCAATGGCTTTTTCCAGATCTGAGCCCTTCCTCAGAGCTGTGAGAGAAAAAATAAACAACAATGAGATTAGGCTCCAAATAACCCTACCCAGAACTGGGGCTATATTTTCCAAGGGAAGGCTGGGGAGCAGGGTTGAAAATGTATGTCACTGTGGTCCTGTCCTGTGCTCTTTGTCCCTTATCTGGGAGTGGGGCAAGGAGATCTCTGATCCTGGACCTTTAATCAGTGAACAACAAAAATTCCTTCAGGAATAATTAGAATTAGTAGATCTAGGATGAGATTTAGTACTTGCTTGCCATGTGATCTTGGGTAAACACCTCACTTCACCAGGCCTTGATTTTCAAGCTGTAATTTCATTCTCTTGTTCAGCAGTAGAGCATTTACTATGCGCTAGGCTCAGTTTACTCTGAGGATTCATCAATGAAAAAAACAAAGTCTTGCTCTTGTGGAGTCTATATTCTGTATCTGCTGAGGAAAGGTAGGGTTCTAAGCTGTGCGTGAGCTTGCAAATAGCAACAGGTAACGTTCTCGTTTGCTGTGTGCCAGGTAGCTTTCTAACATAATTTTATATACTCTTTAGTAAAACCAGAAGGTGGGTACTAGTTAGTCTCCATTTCTCATGTTGGAAACTGACATATGGAGAGATTAAGAACCTTAAAGTTAGGTTGCTCAGAAGTGGCAGAAGAAAGACCTGAAAGTATGTCTGACTTTACAGACTAAGGAAAGGGTTTCTACGTTGGACTCCCTCATTCTGAGGGTGTCTCCACCAGCGCTGTGGGCCCAGGCATCATCGAAGTCTCTGGTGAAGTTCAGGTCTGACAGTCCCCCAGACTGGGACACCATCTGGACTAGCCAACATCCCTCCCTTCTCCTCCATCCTCTTAAACACAGCATGCATTTTCCCTGACTATGAGGTAGCATATGCTCATTGCAAAAACAGAATTAGAAAAATATCAAAAATAAAGGATGACAAGGAGCTCTGGTTATCCCACCAACACTGATGATACTTTGCAAAGCGTTTGCTTTCCTGTTTTCATGGTTGGGTTCTTCTCTTAATAAACCCAGCATGTTGCCTCCTAATTTCTGACCTGTCTGCCTCACAGAGTTGTGAGAGAATATGTGAAAGCAGATTGAAAAGGACTAAGTGGCATAAAAAATGCAAAGGACTGACATTTCTCTTTTCGTGCCTTTTATCGGCTCTTTTGCCTGTGGAATGGGGTGTTGGGGAGGGCGTTAAACCAGGCCACTTCATGTTGGCCTCTCCAGAGACTTCCTACTTCACTTCTTATGCTTTAATAATACTGAGCTGTATAGAATTGGACTTTAAGTGATGAATTTATTTACAAAACCCCAACATTGAACTGTGTCTAGTTTCTTACACACTAGGTTATATTTACAAATAGTTTCTGGTGAGTATTTATTGCCAGACCCTTTGAGAGTTCTGGGAATAAAGCCATGAATAATATCAAAAGAACAATCCTTGATCTTCTGGAGCTTTCGTCTTGGTGGACAAGAGTGATGGCTTTTTATGGAGCTTATATTCTCTGTGGGAGCCACTCCTCCCAAAATTGTACATGTTTCAACTTATTTAATTCTTGCATCAACCCTCTGAGGTAGGCCCAAGTATCATCTCTACAGACGAGGAAACCAAGGCACAGAGAAGTTAATTATCTTGCCCAAAGTCACACAGCAGTTCTGATTCCTCAACATACTGTACACTGCCCGCAGAAGCTGTTTTTCAGGTAGTAGAAATTTTCCCCAAAACCCAGACTTGGCAACATGTCCCTTCTTTGTGTTTCTCTACTTTTCCAAACATAAACTTATAACACTTGTACTGGAGCTCTCTGTTCATCTGTCTAAAATTCCCCCTCAATCGATGTTATCCAAAAGAATTGTAATTCAAATCATAATTATAACTGAGAATTTTCCAGCAGTTACATTAAAAAAGTAAAAAAGAAATGGATAAAATTACTTTTAGTGGTATGTTTTCCTTAACTTAATATAGCAAAAATATTTTCACTTCAATATGTGATCAGTATAAACAAATTGCCCAAAAATAGACAACTGGATCAAGAAGATGTGGTACATATACACAATGGAATATTACTCAGCAATCAAAAAAGATAAACTCATGCCGCTTGCAGCAACATGGATAGAGTTAGAAGGGATCATGCTCAGCGAATTAAGTCAGAAAGAAAAAGAGAAATACCGGATGGTCTCACTCATAGCAGGAATTTAGAAAACCTAAATAAGGGACAGGAAAAAGACTAATTAATACAAAGGAAAAATCAAAATCAACAAGCAACTATAAACCAGACACACTACGGGGTTGGGAGCGGGGAGAGGAAGGATTAGGGTCAAAATAAGGGGGGGTGCAATTGTATGGGGAATATAACCAAAATGAAAATGCATACATTGTGCAAAAATGAAAAATGATGTAAGAATTATATAAAATAAAATATTAAAAAAATTAAAAATAGAGAAAAGAATTGAGGGAAAAAAATAAACAAATTATTGCGATGCTGTGCTTTTTTTCCTACTAAGTTTCTAAACTATAACCTATAGTATCCATGTAGTTGATAACACATTGCAATTCAAATGAATCACTTTCCAAAAGCTCAATATCTACATGTGGCTTGTGTCTCCCATACTGGGGAGTGTGGCTTCAGACCGCACATTCCTTAAAGGTAGTTATTGCATCTTATTCATCTTTGCATTCTTGTCAGGCTCTGTGTGTTGTAGGCTGCAATATCCGTGTGTTGAACCAACTAACCAGAACTTCAAAAAAAATTTTATGCCTTTTTCCTCACTTTTTGTGGAACATGAAATACTTAACATCAAATTTTGATCTAGTGAGTTCCTGACAGTTTTGTGTGAGGGAAACAGTCCTCAGTACAACAAGATGTCAAATCACATTATTTTGAACTTTTCATTATATTAGTTATTTTTGCAAGTGAAGAAATGAAGTCTTCCAGAAGAGAAGTGATGTTTCCAAATTTACATTCATCATGTATGGCAGAACTAAAACTAGGTCTCCTGCTCTTTTCTCTCTAGTTCAGTAGTTTCCTCAAGAGTCCAGTACTCGTCAAGATTTTCCACTACAAAACTGCTTGGATTCCAGAGACAAATAATATACTCATCCGCAATTCCTACCTCTACAGTGTTTAATGCATGAGTGCCAGTACCCAGCAGAGAAAATATGTGTTCATATTGACTTCTATTTCATGACTTTAAAAATCAGTCATCATTAAATAAAACACATTCTGGGAAGAGAAACCATGTTTTGTCCTGTGCTTTTTAAGCCATGGGACTAAGTGTGACCCAATAGCCCATTGTTAGGGGTCTGATACTAGAAGTGTGTGTGTGTGTATCAGTGAGAGTGATAGAGTTACAATTCCCCCTCAGCCTCTCAGAGGGAAGAAGTTATATTAGAAATATGAAGGAACAATTATTAACAGTCTCTGAAAATGTGAAAATTGTAAAACAAATCATGAGTCTCATGCTGTGAGAGTGTAAAGATAGCTATTTCATCAAAATGGACTTTATTTAAATGAAATTCTAATATAAACAGTCTGTTTTGGAGATATTGGCCAACTGGCCAGCTGTGCCTGTTACTCAGTAAACATTTTAAGCCACACCTTTTTGGAATAAGTAATGATAAAATTATTTGAGGTTTTTTTTTTTTTTCAGATGTCATTATTTCCATGGCAGTATTGCCAGCTCTAAAGATATTTAACTATAAAATTCAATTCTAAAGGTGAATATTTACATTGGGGATTTGGCTACACTGTTTTCACTCAATCAACACTGGCAGTTGGATTGATGGCATTCTGAGCCCCACTGAACCTTCAGGAATCAGGTGCTGAGAGTCTTGTTCTGGCAACACTGAGGATGCTGCCCATGGACAGGCACCTGGGCATGGTGGGGAGGCATTGAATGAGGAGTCAGGGGACCCAAGCGCCGGCCGTCATTTGGTTTTTAATGGACTGTCTAGTTTAGGGAAGTTCATTTCTCTACTGGACCTCAGTTCCTGAATCTTTAAAAAAGGACATCATGAATGTTTGATGATTTATCCACAAATTCCCTTATATCTTTGGCATTCTTTAAAGTCCTATTATATTTATCTCTCAGCATGCTGTCATGGTAAAGAAGAAACCATATATCTCAATCACCCCAGGACTTACCTTTTATTGAAGCCAGTTGTTTGGATATGGAAACGCTGCCAACAAATTGAAAGAAACATAATGACTCTGGGAATTTGGGTATTGTTATCTGCATCTAAGGTAGAGCAACACAATCATTTTAAAATGAATTGATTTTCAATAAACATTCCCTGAGCATTCTGGTGGAGCAGACATCTGTCTTTCATACTGCTTTCTTTTCTGGTCGCAAGGTAAGATGTGCTTGATCATAGCTGGCCAGTTACATAGCAGGAAGTGTTTGACCAGAGCATGCTGAGCCCAGAGCATGCTCTGGCCCTACTTACATCCTTGTATGCTAAGGGCATTGAAAGGAAGGAAATGACACGATCAGATTTCCAGTTGAGGAAGTTATTGCACCTAATGTATGAAGCTATTGAAGGAGGCCAGATGGGAGGGAAGAAGATGAAACTTGCTCCCTTATAAATCCTTTTTTTTTTTTTTTTTTTTTTTTTGTGGGGCCCTCGCAGGCGGCCAGGGAACTAACCCGTGCTGCCGAGGCTGCGGGCAGCCCCGCAGCCCAGCACTCAATCACTGCGCCACCAGGGGAGGCCCATACATCTTTTTTTTTTTTTTTTAAAGATTTATTTATTTATTTATATAAGCACTGGGTACAGAAGCATGGCAGGGTGAGAGAATTCACCAGAGTCAGAGCAGGGAGCAGAACAGGATGATTGACAAAGTACACTGCTGAGGGGAACAGAAAGTGGCAGGAGAGGTCTGCGTGCCATGTGGGACCCTCGCTGGCAGCCGGGGATCAAACCGGCGCTGCAGAAGCTGTGGGCAGCTTCGCAGCCCAGTGCTCAACTGCTGCGCCACCGGGGAGGCCCTCCCTTATAAATCTTGTTCTTCTAAAGAGCACATCAAAGTTTGCTTGATATTTCAAACCTCAATGACTGAGGAGGTTTTGAGAAATCCAGTAAGAGCAACAGAATTTGACTATGTCTTTGACATCTCTTTCAAGGGAGCTTTGGAGTTCAAGATATGGCTTTAACAGTAAGTAGTCAAGAGATCGTCATCTTTGGGTAACTCATTATTTTATTTGTAAAATTAGGAAACTGGACTCTGATACTTTGGATTTTTATGACTTTCTTGAAGAGCTCCTCTTGATTTTCTAAAAACTCCACACCATTATTATCTCCTTCATAGGATAAAGAATGTCATATTTTCATTTTGTACAATGTACACTTGCAATGTGGCTTGTGGAATTTTTCATTTCCCACAATCTCTTCCATTAGTCTGTGAGGCCCTTGAAGGCTAGAGCTATGCAGTTTGTCTCGCATCTCCCACCCCGACCTAGCAGAACACCTAGTACTTGTGTATTCAAAAAATTTTTTGAGCTAAAATTGGTCCCCTATAGGGAATTTCATGAGGAAGAACACTTTTCACTTATTAGCCATCATTTTACATATTTGAGCAATATAAAGCAATTTCCCTCTGTCATGGATCATTTGAAAGGCTGTTACACAGTTTAAAACATTAACCAATTTTGACTTACACATGTTTATCAAGAGGCTAAGGTTTTTGTTGTGTTTCTTGTATTATCTTTTCAGTTTGCAATCAAAGCAGCAGGTTTATTCCCTTTGCTTTTCCAATTCAATTTAAAGCTAGATTGGGGTGGGCATCAACTTGCAATATCAACTTGCTATAGGGTTGCTGGTATGAACTTTTCAGAAATACACTTGCAAACGTAAATGAAACTCAGTAAAGGAGAGCCAAGTGCCACTGACCTTTTGGGCATTTTCCTAGATGCTAAGGTAGATGTTGGGGCTGCAGGATGGGGCTCCCCTTCCAAGTGGAGAACTTGGTCCTGGGTACTGTGCATACAGCCACACATACTCCGGGCTTCTGTTGTGTGTGGGTTGCTCCTAAGCAATGGTCACTTGACTACTGTTACTATTGTCCTCCACACCATGACTGCTACAGAATGGCCCCTTTGTGTGAGCTTCCCCCTGGCGTTATTGTATGTAGACATGAAATCATACATGTAGTCGACAAATATTTGAGTGCCCACTGTGGGGCATGCTCTCTACAAGGTGTGGGGCACACAACAGTGAGCAAACTGAGAGCAGGATCCTGACTTCAGTGAGCTTGGTGAGAAGGACAGATATTGATCAAGTAATCACACAAGGAGTTGTATCTGTGGGGAGATACAGATATTAACCAAGGAAATCAGGGAGCACCCCCATGAGGAAGTGGTGTTCAATGATTAGTGGGAGGAGTGCGTAAGTGAAGTGGCAAGGAACAGTAACTAATAGAGCTTGTATTAAGCCCAATGAAAGGAGGGAGTAAGAGAAGGCCAGTGTTGCTGGATCAGAGAGGCTGAGGGAAGTGGGGCTCCACTTGCTGGAGAGGGGGCCTGGCAGTTAGATCATGCAGGAACGTGTAGGCCACCATGGGGAATTTTCACTTTGTCAAACGAATAGGGAAACTTGGGCCTCCCTTGGTGGCTCAGGTGGTTGAGCGCAGCACTGTGGAGCTGTCCATAGCCTCCACACAGCATGGGTTCGATCCTGGCCGACCATGAAGATGCCCACATGGCATGGCAGACCTCTCCTGTCGCGCCCGCTGCTCCCCTCAGCAGTGTTTTCCATCGGTCTGCCTGTTCTATTCCCCGCTGTCTCTGGCAAGTTCTCTCACCCTCCCGCGCATCTGGCTGTACCCAAGTTCCTGTATGCATGAATAAATAAATCCTTAAAATAAAAAATAAAGTGAAACTAAAAATAATAAACATTCTAGTATTCTATTTAATTGCAATCGTTTTAGAAAAAAAGAATAGGGAACCATTTGTGGGTTTTTAGCAAGGAGGTTAATATAGATTTATAGTTTGGGAAAATTCACTCTTATGTGGATAATAGTGTAAAGAGGTGAACAGTGTAAAATGCAGAAAGATTAGTGGGGAGGTTATTTCACTTGTGTTAGCTCAGAGCTCTTTCTGTAAAAACTAGAGCACGTATCAATTCAGCCAAATGACTCTGGTTCAGCGAAGACATGACCAGCAATTACTTAGAACACTGGCGAGTTGATGGGTGAGAGAAACCAAAGCTCAAAAGAAGCTAAGAATAGTCATTATTTGGGTTTCAAGGTGGCTTCAGGGACATGCTACTTTATTGCCACATGACTGGTTGCTGTGCCACCATCAGGGTGGCCATGTCACTCTCTCATTGCTTGCTCCTCTTTCTGGGTTTTCTTTTCTCTCTTCCATGTACTTCTTCAGCAATTTCCTTGGAATTTTCCATTTAAATTTAGAAGAGATAAAAAGTTAGATCGGTCTTGCTTATTACTGTTGTTCATGTTGGTCAGAGTTTTATTGCCTGTCTACACAGAGGTTGTCAGTTAACCTATGCAATTATTTCCCTTGTATCAGGAAATGACCCTGAGTCAACTTCACCGCTCTGGTCAAAACCTATAGCTGTTTTCCTCAATAGAGGGCTCTGGGTAGGGTTCTCTAATCTGAATTTGTAACAAATATTCCAGATGATTCTGACATAGAGAGCATAGGAGATTGATTGGCAGCAGTTAAGTAGAGACTCTGAAGCAGAAAGATCTGACTCCGGCACTTACTAGTGTGTAACAAGATAAGATCCTTAAAAGTGCCAAGTGTACTTTCTCATCTTTCAAATAATACTTTCCTCATGGAGCAAATTGAATGTTGGATGAGTTGAGGTTGATGACGTACTCATTACAGTGTTTGGTACATGAGGAGCAATCTACAAATAATAGTCATAGACTTGATGTTAAAGATGACTATGTCATGAGACTCAGAATCCAACTTAGGTGGCCTCACAGATCCATCAAAGGATTGTTCAGAGGATGGGACTAGGAAGCTAATTATGGATGCTGAGACACACAGGGACTAGCAACAATGGGATATTATTATCACCCTTAGTCCTGAAGGGGCAAGGAGAGGAAATTGTATTATGGAGCCCGGTGAAAGCTGGATTCTTGGTGTTGAGACCACTTGACCGAACTGTAGTTGAAGGGAGGCAGTGACAGCTAGAAATCTGATTCCATTCTGTGCTTTCTATTGACTAAACCAGTGGGGTCTACAGGAATAAGCCTCTTAGACACAGAGATGGGCAGAAAATGGAATGGTAGGCAGGGGGAAATGAATGAATAAGGAACAGCATGATGCTGATGGATGATATTGGAAACAAACTATTATTGGTAATCAGGTTTATTGATAATTTTCTAATCAGCATTGATTCAAAGGCAGCATTGTAAAAAATGATATTGCTGCATCTGAAGAAATTTCAGGTAATAATATATCATTTTTTGTATATCAAAATCTCATGATATGGACTATTTAGGCTTTTAATTCACAGTGTTTAATGGACTGGGGAAATATTTTTTTTAATTCCTTTATCTGACCTTTGGCAATGTGAGGGTGACACCTGAGTGTAGTGGGAAAGGGAACTGTGTGGGTGGCAAGCAGGTGGTTGACAAAGGACTCCATGAGCACTTACTGACAAGCATACAAGACCACCTGCTGAAGCTTGCTAGAAGGGGCTCTTGTGAATCAGCCAGCAGGCTGCAGGAAGAGCAGAGGTAGCACTGCATTAGCAGTGCTTGAGGTTAGGTGAGCTGTTTGCATGAGAATAAATGCCATCGCAGAGAAATGTTTTGTTTCTTTAACCAGGTTAACTCTCACACTTTGCTTCAAGGCTCCCCTTCCTAGTCTATCAAAATTAAATAGCGGGTAATGGGAGTGAGATATTAAGAGACTTGCTTTTGATGACTGGTTAATGATTTTCATCTGGTGCTCAGTTCTTCATTGGGAGCCCTGGGGTCCGGGCAGTTCCTTTGTTTGTGCTTTTGGGGGGTCTTAGGGACTCTTGAAGTTCCGGCCCCACCCCTCACCTAGATTCTCAAAGTGTCTTATAACCATCGTAATTTGGCCCGGCATTGGTGTAGAAAAATGTTATCAGATTGGACATGAGGTTGCCTTTTTGAAAGAATCCCAACCTTATCCCAAGAGGTGCAGCATTTGTGAATCCTTAGTTTTTCACTTATTTAATGTGAGGGTTAAAATCTGTGTGTTGAGTAATTGGTTTGGGGCTAGGTCTCTGATAAAAATTTCTTTTATAAGAAGTATCATTGCCAAATGATGAAACTAAGCATTAGAAAAGTTAAATTACTTTTCCAAAATTTTATAACTAATAAAATGGCGGAATCTAGATTCAAATCTAAGACTGTAGAATTTCAAAGTGGATGCTCTTTTCAACTACATCATGTTGCTTCTTCACTAGTTGATCATTAGAATTAGAGTTTCAGTTCTTGTTTCCTATGCTGAGACCACCTACTCTCTACAAATCCTATCCAAAATCTTACTAGAATTTCTAGCCCAAATGAATCTCTTTCTGTCCCGAAGCACATTCTACTCAGGCACATTTTTGCTTCTATTTTAAGATTTTTTAATTATTGTTTTATACTTGTAATTAGTTGTGATTTGTCTTTCCTCCTCATTAGATGGTGAATATTTTCTTTATTAATTTATGTATTTTTTTCTTACATCGGTGCTCATTTTTGTACAACATTTGACAGTGAACATTCTAACAACGATAATAATGAATTGCATTGATTTAAAGCCACCTCTGTGCCAGTCATTGTGCTGGACACTTCACATTTACCCTCACATCCAGGTATTAAAAAGCCTCTTTTGAAAATGCTCAACATTCCTTATAATCAGGGAAATACAAATCAAAACTACTTTGAGATACCATCTTACACGAGTGAGAATGGCACATATCAAAAAAACTAGCAACAACAAATGTTGGCGAGGATGTGGTGAAAAAGGAACTCTCCTGCACTGCTCGTGGGAGTGCAAACTGGTCCAACCACTACAGAAAGCTGTCTGGAGGTTCCTCAGTCTATTAAAAATGGATCTACGATATGACCTAGCAATTCCACTCCTAGTGATCTACCCAAAGGACACAAAAACATTGATTCAAAAGAACATCTGTGCACCTATGTTTATTGCAGCATTATTTACAACAGGTAAACCTGGAAATAACCCAAATGCCCAAAAATAGATGACTGGATCTAGAATATGTGTCATATATACACAATGGACTATTATTCAGCAATCAAAAAAGATAAACTCATGCCATTTGCAGCAACGTGGATGGAGCTGGAAGGAATTATGCTCAGTGAAATAAGCCAGAAGGGAAAAAAAAAAATGGATGGTTTCACTTCCAGCAGCAATATAGGGGAACCAAATAAAACATCAGTGTAAAAAAAAATAACAATACAAAGCACAACAAAGCAAAAACAGACAATTACAAATCAGAGACATCCTGAAGGGCAGGAGAGGGATCAGAGGGAGGGAGGGAGGAGCACAGGGGACTGAGGTGATGGTGCACAGGTGCCTTGGGGAAGGAAGTTTTATGGGGACTACACCTAAGGGGGGTGGGAAGCAAATATTGTTTAAAAATAAACAAATGATGTAAAAAATAAAAAAATAATAAAAAAAAGCCTCTTTCGGTGGTGCATGATTGTTTGCACTGTGCGCAAGCCTTACAGAGATTAGGAGATCAGGACTTGCTCCAGATGACACAGTTAATAAGACTTGGGATTCAGATAGGGTCATGCTGACTCCAATATTCATTCTCTCAACTAATATCTTCAGGGCTACATTTAAATTATATTTGTTTTTTTTCTATCAGTCTAACATTATGCTCAGAATGGTTATGAAACTGGACACTTGTTAACTACTCTGTGACCCAAGGAATTCTTTCATTTTATACTTCCACTCATAATGTATACAGTTTCAAGTTTTTCCACATCCTCACAAACACTTGGTATTGTTAATCTTTTGAAAAATTTATTCACTCTGAT